GTCGTGAGTAAAGACGGTCAGCTTTTCTTTTCTTGCCACGAAAATTTCTGTGGCACACTCTGAATCCGGAAGGAAGCAAAAATACTTTTATCTGTTTTATCTTTGCGAGAAAGAAAAAAAGAGAGAGAGAGAGAAAGATCCACAAGCGAAAGGAGTTCCGTTTCCGCTATTGTCGTGGAGCGAGGCCGTCCTCGCGACGATGATGGAACGATTAATCGCTCTCCTACCGCCTGCCACGTGCGCTTATCGCCAGTAGTTAGATGGAGTATGGAGACACGGCGAAGACAAAGAGCTCGGGGGCCCTTTGAAAAATTGACGCGCCAGCGGAGCGCAACATGCACTTTAATAAAAGATGTTTACCGCGCGCGGACAAGCGCTTCGTAATCCGAGACGACGGTGGCCGCAGTTTCGTGCAATATTTATTTGTATCGTCGCCGGGGAATGATACTCGACAATCGTTGTCATCTTTTGCACGCGCGTCGTATAAGCGGGATAATCCACTAGATCGTCGTCGTATCTGGTCTATTGAAAAGGACTTGTTCGAAAATAAACTTTTCGATGTTGGACCGCGGGAAGAAACTTCGAGGAATTTCTCGCCTACAAAGATCGAGATAGTAGGGATCGTAGGGTAACATCCAAACGACATTTTATACCGCGGTACTGTTTTAGTTTTTCTTTTTTTTTTAGAGGGGAATATTGAATTTTATAGATAGAAAGCGAGTTTTTTTTATTCAATCGGCGTCTCGAGTTTTTCACCTCGTGAAAAATATCAATCAATGGAAGCTGTAATCAAATTTAACGTAATCGTGTTACAGTCACAGCCAGTTGAAACACACTGCAGTTTAACTGCGCGAGAATTTCGTAACGCGGCAGCGCTTTTAAAAATGAGATTAACCTTTTCGAGGATCGAATATCGCTCAATACACTCGCCAATTTCTGTCGAGCGGGCGCCTCTTGAAAAATAAACGAAACTCGATTGCGATATGCTTCTGGGAGATGGGACGGATCAGGATTGAAGGGAATTAGGGCGAAAAGAGGGCGCGCCCACCCCCTCTACCTGCTGAAGTACGACACGATAACGTACCCGCTCGTCCCTTTCCTAAACTCTGGACCTTCCTCTGATCTCAGCAGCCCTCGTCTTCGACATCTAGTTTCGAACTCCCGTCCCTTGCTTGCTTGGACGACATGATACGAGAAATTTGGAACAGGCGGACAATTTTAGGCTTTCGATCAATATATTAAGTTTCGAAACTTTTTATGACATATTAGACGAGAATATTATACGCGAATGTGTCATCCTTAATTAAGTAAAAATTATGTAGCTATATTATTTAATTACACGGACTAATTTTCGTGAAAGAATATATCGCGTAGACTATATTAGATAAAGTGAAATAAAGAAAAGATAATCACATACAACTGTTCTAAAACGCTAAGTAATTGGAGCACGAAAAAAATGACAAAGCGGTTCTTCCCGCTTTGTTCCCGGCAGCTCATTAAGTGGCGTTGCTTGACGGCATTATACTCCTTGCCTCTCTAGCCCTTCCTGTCTGAAACACCTGGCGTCCATTGTAGCGATCATAATGTCGCCATGTCAACCTCATGCCGTTACATTAATCAGGCCTTTGAATCTCGAAAACTCGAATATTTAACCAGGATCGAGATCTCCACTAACGCGTGCACGCGAATACATACAATTCACACAATCGTTTACAGGCATACGTAATAGATTAATTCGATCAGCAAACTCGATATTATTTCTCTTTTACCGTATTAATCTGCAGAATTTAAGCGGATAATGTTGGCGATCATTGTGCGTTTTGCGAGGAAATTCGTGACAGGGAAATGAGCGAAATTTTTGAAGGATCATATCGGATGAAACGTATAAGATTTGATTGCCAGATCCTGTGGAAACGTATACGGCCAACGTAAGAATTCGCTCGAGCTTCCAAAGCGTTTCTCTCCCGTCTTTCCCCTCTCACGAAGCTCTCGAAAACGATGCGCACTTGAGATTTTTCTTCGACGTTTCTCGCATCGGCGGGACGCAAACTTGCACGAAAATAAAGGACTCGAATTTCACGAAACTTTGCTATACCCAGTTGACATGATGCATGCATGCATGTATCCGTACGTATATGTGAGGGGATCAATATGTCATGACACAATAGTCATGTTTTTCACTGGTATGTAAATCAAGAATACATCTAATATCGAAACATCTAACACAAAAAATATACAATCATATAAATATGTTTTCTAATAAATAAAATGTTTTGTACAAAATATATATTTTATAACATATATAAAAATATTTTAAAACTTGTTTTCTTTAGTATGAGAAATGTAAGCATAGATTAGATTAATCTATAAGGAAGTAGCACACATACGTATACGGACACGAGTGTTATCGTTCTTGAAGATATTAAAAAATCATAAGAAAACTCGAAAATATCTTATAATATACATAATCAAGATATAACCAAGTTTGTATTTTTCAATATAAATAAAATTACTACACAATTTTCTGATTATCTGGCTTGTAAAAACAAAGGACGTGTAGAAAATATCTAGATATTTATATCCAAAAACGCTTAATAACAGAATATATAACAATTATAGTTATAACTATCCTGACGATTTCTTTCTGCCGGCTCAAAGATTATGTTTGCCGCTCTTCTTTCGCCTTCTTCATACGAATAGCGTTCAACAACAAACAGTGGACAGATCGTTCGTCGAATCGACGGCCCTTCGTCCACGGCGAACGAGTAAAGTTTTCGTGGTCTTCCCCTGATTCTCCCTCAGCCGTTTTGTCCCGAATCCTTCTTCCTTCAATTCTAGCCGCCGCTCGCGCGCTACCATCACGATGGCTTCCGACCGATCGATAGCGTCCGCGAGACTTTCCACTCATATATTTGATTGCTTGGCAAACATGCCTAAGTTTATCCCACGGCCATCGTCATCGTCGAGCGACTACTACTACAGTGCGGGTGATGCCACGACTACTCGCACGAGTTCATGTGCCCTGAACGTTCAGACGTCGTTGCGAGTTTGTTCGTTCAGAGCATTGCGTTCGAAGTAATTCGATCATGTTAAGATTACGATGTAATTTTAGTTATGAAGATCTCGAAGTATTCGATCTCGATGATGGAATAGCACGAGCATCAAGATCACAAGCGCGCGCGCGCGCGAATTAAGAGTCCTTCTTGTCGATAAAATAAAACTTTCTACGACATGACATATAAACGGTCGATTTAAAAAAATTCGAGAACAGTGTGATAAAAATAAAATATTTATCATACACGTCGGCGATAATGTCGAACGGAGAAAGACGCGGGGGCAACCTTTTCTATTCATTCCCCTCTTTGTAATGGCTTACTCAATTATTCTTTAGCTGAATACATTGTAACTGTGTCGTGCCATTAACTTCGCTTTTACTATAAACGATTCGTGGCCTTATGGTACAAGTATGTTAACTCATTTGCCGAGCTGCCGCTCAATAGCGAGTCAAGGCAAGGCGAGGTGTAGCGCATTTAACGATCGATCTTCTTATACTCGTTTCCGCGAGTAAAACTTGCGGCGGAAGTTGTACGCTTCATTAATCAACAGTTGATAATTAAATCAAACCGCAAACTTGGTACGAAAAAAATGCCGCGCTCTTTAGTTCAAATTCGCTATGATGTTAGAAAGCTTCATTAAAGAGTAGGTATTTCGCTACGTTACGAAAGCGCCATGCCGCCGATCGATAGATCATTTTATCAAAGTGTGACGTTCCGAAAGAAGCATCAGTTCAAAAATAGAATCGTCGTGATCGATGGGCGACGAACATCTGTTACCGCGGCTGGTGAAAGAGGGCGATTTGAATATAGACCCGTCGATATACGCGCGCATCGTCTGTCAACCTTTGTGACTTGGTTGTAAGTCGCTAGTGAACATCTGTTTTTGTAACAGCTGAAGATGAACAGCGCACATGGGGACTTACTATACTCGAAATTTAATTTCTTTTTTGCATAAGTAATAAAAGCACAGACGATTGTATAAATTTTTGTCATCTCTTTAGATCTAAAGAATAATAATTATATATCTCATATGTCCTGTTCCTTTGTTAGAGAATGTATTACGGATAATATAATATATGAAACATGATGAGATATTAAATACTTTGTAAATACTTTAATCTCTTACAAACTGATTATAAAAGTTAACATTAAATAATTGTCAATTTTAATATATCATTATAATACTATATATATTATAGTTATTGGATTAATACGAGTGAAGAAGGTTCAGATACAGAGATTGCTAATCATTAATATAATAGTTATTTATGTGATAATTATGAAAATATATATCAATATGAAAATGAGAAAGAGAAGCATAAACTTACAATTAATGGTGTCTATCAATAACGTAGATTTAATTTACAATTGAGTCATCTCTTTTAAAATTTAAGAAAAGGAAAAACTATGCTTTCGACAGTAACATGCTTTTATGAGTGACAAGCAAAATATTTTTTATCGTTAAAGAATATATACATACGAAAGAAAAAAATAATTCGGTCAAACTGGATAGATTCGTGTCACGGGTATGAAGGGATACAGGAATACGAATGGTCTTACCAGCATGTAGCGAATGGGTGGAG